TAAATAAAGCGGAAATGGTCACTTCGCCTGAATCATCAACCCACCTCGAGTCTAGATCCGAGTTTTAAGGACCTCTCAGCTCTACGACACTATCAATCGATAGTCAAGATGTCAACTGATCACTCATGTCGTCCTAACGAAACTTCTCATTTACTTTTTTTTCTCACTTTCAATACCCKGATGTCGTTCCACCAGGGACAACGGTAGGCAACCGTTATCCCCTGCAACGGCGCCACCTGTCAAGCGCATCGGTCCAACACCGCACGGGGCAGCGTGGGACCCTCCCGGCCGCGTCATGCAGGAGTTGGTCTAAATCCGTCGTCRCAATATACATGGAGTATCCACAAGCCGCTCCGGCCGAGTGCGCCAGCCATACCTCTCGCGAGCCCCTACGACAGGATAGGGCCTACGCGAGGCACGACTTACCTCCACCTTATGGGAGCTGTCACCTCCCTTCGCTGGGCGTATCCCCGCCGAGCTACCAGTCCACAGTACAAAAGCTAATCAGTTGCAATCGCAGAGGTGGACCAGYCGAGGGCGTTTCTCGTTCGCTGTAGCATAGGGGGTATGCGCGGTATTACGCCTCTATCGAACCCGCACGCGAACCGACATCTTGGGGGGCTGAGGTCCTAAGCGCGGTTCGAYGCCGGTCGACTAGGACGCATCCCACACACCACGCGCACACCACTCTATCAACCACAAAACAACAACACACGCACATACGCATACCAAACGACATAACAGAAACAACGCGACAATGCTCCTAGCCCCTCGGTAACCAACCCATAACTTTCCAATGCGGAAATCGAATAGGCGCCACACGCGAGACTTAGTATAAAACCGCACGAACGCAGGCTAACTCATATCGACTCGCAATGTAAGCGTACGCAAGCAGTTGCAATGATGGCGTACTATGTAGTACCCACACTCGTGCGCTCCTCGTTAATCTTGAGGGTCACATTCGAAACTCAAGTGTTGGCTGACACACGCCTTGAGGGTTAATCTTTCGACGCTAGACAAYCGCCATGCGCGGTTGAAGACCACACACCCTCTTCTGCACTCTGTGCAGAGTGGGTGGTACACAGGTCCATACCTGTGGTCGCAGTCGTTTCTTACTGCC